TGATTCCGTCTGTGATTTCTTTTTTGAGATCTAGAAGTTACTTTATAAACAGTATTATAATTTATTGTAACCTAATCACCTTCATTCTGTTCAGTATTTGCATGGTTTATTTATTACATTGCATTGCAGAGAGATAGAAAGCGAGAAATCACCCGCCAGGGGGGATGTCCACACCACAATCCCTTCTCCATTCTCCTCTCTGGATCCTGGGCATGCATGCGCACACGCCCAGCGTCAGTTTAAGCCACCAGGTCCGGGACTCGAACCACGGTCGACTACATGGGAGTTCAGCAACATAGCCATTACGCTAACTGCTGGTCCCAGAAGCTAAGATTTTGACTTGGGGAGAGTTAAGGGCATCCAGGCTCAGTGAAAAGTGGATGACCATCCAGATAACTCTCTCTTTTTTTTTTTTTTTTTTTGAGAGCTTTTTTTCGCTATAGGGCGCGTGCGCTGGCCAGACAGACAGAGACATAGAGACAGAAAGCGAGAAATCACCCCCCAGGGGGGATGGTCACGCCGCAATCCCTTCTCCTCCATTCTCCTCTCGGGATCTTGGGCACGCATGCACATGCCCCCGGCGTGAGTTTTAAGCCACCGGGTTCGGGACGTGAACCGTGGTCGACTACGTGGGAGTCCAGCGACATAGCCTTTACACTAACTGCTGGTTCCCCCATCCAGATACCTCTTGAAAGTTAGGATTTGTGTTTAGATGATTGGTGGTTCTTGATATAACCATGTAGGTTATGGTCTCTTCCGAGATGGAGGAGACTGTAGAATAGTGGCCGCGACTAACAAACATATTTAACCCCCAGAGCATATGTTCTTTCTTTTTTTAAAAACAAATTCTTCTTTTACAACAAGATTATTTTCAGAAATAACGAATAATAAAAATGGCCATAAAAAAAACTTGAATTTTACACACGTATAAATTATGCTTCCCCACACAGGGAATCATACCAGCTACAAGTAAATATTATGGTGGAAAGAATTAGTTGATTAGAACTTTTAAACTGTGTCAATATTTTTTTCCACAAAGGGGAAAAACTTGGGGACCAGCAGGTGGCATCATGGTTAAGGCGCTGGACACTCCACATGGCTGACCACGGCTCGAGTCCTGGACCTGGCATCTTGCTTTCTCACTTTCCCTCTCTCTCCCTCTCTCTCTCTTTCTCCCTCTCTCTCCCTCTCTCTCTCTTTCTCCCTCTTTCTCCCTCCCTCTCTCTCTGTGTGTGTGTGTGTTTCTCTCTGTGTGTGATTCACTCTCTCTTGGTCAAATTTTAAAAAATGAATAAAATTAATTAAAAAAAAACTTAAAAAGGGGGGAAAAGTTGAAAAAAATCTGTGTGTTTGTCGCAATAGTGAATAAGAATTCCAACCCTCAATCTGTGATTTTTGTCAAGGACTGGTAAAATTAATCTTCATATATAGTTCAGTAGACAGATTTATAATCTTACGGTATCTTCACTCATGATTGAAAAGCAATTCTAATCAGTTTTAGTTAGGAAAAGTTATATGTGAAGCAGCGAATTTTTATAAAATGCTCACTTCACATTAAATTCTAGAAATCACACTACCATTTGTCTTTGTCTTCAGCATTGAATCTAGTGACTCTTAATTGTCTGCTCATTTTTAAAAACTTACTAAAGTGATTTTCACCCCAAAATTCAGTGTATATATTATATTTGGTAAATACTTTTGAAATTCTGTGTAAATACTCTCTTCTTTATACTTTGTTCCTTAGTGTTGGTATTCTCTATCATTTTTGTTCATAGATCTTTACTTTGGAAGCTTTGTATTTCCCTGTACATTTTTCAAGGCAGGTTTTGGCTGTTTTAAAATATTTAACCCAGAAGAAAATGTATCTTAGGAAAGCAAGATTGAACACAGCTATTGTATTTTGACTGTACAGTAGTTTTCCCTTGTCCCCAGTTTTGTCTTAACACTGTTTCAGTTACCCACAGTATAATAGAATAACATTTTGAAAGAAAGCAGCCACATTCACATAACTTTTATTACTGAGTAGTGTTATGATTATTTTACTGTTAGCATTTGTTACTCTTTTACTGTGCCTAATTTATACTTAAACTTGACACAGGTGTGTACATATAGGAAAACACAGAGTCATACATTGCCTGATGACAAGGTATACCATCATGAAATCTTTTAAGCAGGGTATTGATAGCTTTTCAGTAAATTGAATTCCAATTAACATGAAGGTACAACCATACATCACTTAATGATGGGAATATATTCTGAGAAATGTGTTGTTAAGCAGTTTCAATGTACTTAAACTTCAGGAGGAGGAACTATTGTACTGTTTAAAAGGAGAAATCTGGGAGCCAGCAGGTGGCGTAGTGGTGATGGCATAATGGTTGTTGCTGGGCTCCCACATGGCTGATTGTGGTTCAAGTCCTCGACCCAGTAACTTGAAACTCATGCCAGGCGCATCTGTGTGCAGGCCTAAGACCCCAGGAAGGAGAATGGAGAAGAGATTGTGGTGTGGTCATCCCCACTGGGACTGATTTCTCACTGCCTCTGTCTCCCCTCCATCACCTATGAGCACAGAAACCCTTTAGGCAGAAATTTAGTAAATGAATTAAAAAAAAATTAAAATCTGTATAGGTGCTACTGTATTGGATATAGACTGAGCCTGAAGATAACACCACATTCCAAATGATCAGGAATTGACTATCGGGGAGGGACTGGTTGGTCATAATGAGCTTCCACTTAGCATGGATAACTTATTAAAGGATCTGTGTTAAAAATGTGCAGATTTCGGGAACCAGCAGTTAGCGTAATGGCTATGTCGCTGGACTCCCACGTAGTCGACCGCGGTTCGCGTCCCGGACCCGGTGGCTTAAAAAACTCACGCCGGGCGCGTGTGCGTGCGTGCCCAAGATCCCGAGAGGAGAATGGAGGAGAAGGGATTGCGGCGTGACCATCCCCCCTGGGGGGTGATTTCTCGCTTTCTGTCTCTATGTCTCTCTCTGTCTGTCTGGCAAGCGCACGCGCCCTACAGTGAAAATCTCTCCCCCCCCCCCAAAAAAAATGTGCAGATTTCACATTAATGTGTTAAAACTCAGCAGTAGTACTCGGGAACCAGCAGTTAATGTAATGGCTATGTCGCTGGACTCCCACGTAGTCAACCACGGTTCACGTCCGGGACCCGGTGGCTTAAAACTCATGCCGGGCGCGTGTGTGTGCGCGTGACCAAGATCCCGAGAGAAAAATGGAGGAGAAGGGATTGCGGCGTGACCATCCCCCCTGGGGGGTGATTTCTCGCTTTCTGTCTCTATGTCTCTGTCTGTCTGGCGAGCGCATGCGCCCTATAGCGAAAACCTCTCAAAAAAAAAAAAAAGGGAAGAAAAAAACTCAGCAGTAGTACTTTAAAATATAGTCTTAGTCAACAGAACAGAATATTTAGAGGAAGGACTATATTATTGG